ATGATAAGGTGGATTCATATATCAAAGGTAATATTGATTCTTATTAATTTGATATATAAATATAATCATCGATTCATTTAGCTAACTTCAGTAATTTTAAAAAAGATTATTGTCACCATGCAACGCATGGTGTCAAACACTAGTTAAATTAAAAAAAGAAAATAAAAGACCTCGAGAGCAAAGTCATTTTTGAAGATTGTGCAACATTAATAGGAAAATCATTCGAGTCATCTCCTACATTCCTGAAAAATCCTCCCCATATTCATATATACGACCATCCTTCACCAGTAGCAGGGCGTGCATCGGGCGGGTCACCACCCCTTGTCTATGCATTCCCAACACCCACGAATACGAGTAGAAACTCTGTAAGCGAAGTTTCTACTTATTAAGAACTTGTATTTATTTTTTTGATAAAAAAAGTTTGAAAGACCAAAATGCCCTTAAACGACTACCACGTGAGGACACTTTAACAACAATGATTACCAGACAGAAAATGGTATTCATGTGTGAATATTGAAGTAATGAAAATCAAGATTCCTCAAACCACAAGAACAATTTTGTAATTTATTTTAAAGAAAAAATGTTTTTTTCTTTTATCTCACAATTTAGAGGGGGGGTATAATAAGAATAATAATATAGAAAAATAAATAATATGTAGATTTTTAAAAAATAATATATTGCAATTTCTATAGAAAAGTGTAAGCCCCAAAGGTTTTTTTTCTCTAGAACTAAATTATGTAAACTAAACGAGGTCTTATTAGTTATGTACACAAAAAAGATTAGTCGGCTCGTATAACGGGTTGGATATCCAGGTTAATTAAAAAAAAGATTTCATTTTCAGATCCTAATACACACTATTTTGACAAGAGTTTGCTATTCATGACATATAGCAATTGACAAGAACTGCCACAAGTGAAGCTGCAAGTCAAGAAAACAGAACATTGCAATCAAGCACCAGAACCCTCATTCCATATTTACTTCATTCTAAACATATTAAGAACACGATAATTTCCGTCCGTCGCCCTCTCGGGATGATAACGGTTGAATACACTAGTCACGGCTACTTCCATTGTGCCAAAGTTTAATGAAAATGATGGATGCTTTCTCACGAATCATCTGAAAAATCTAACTGAACAGTCTTCGCTACTTTGTGCGGAGGACGTTCTTTAATCAAAGGCGCCAATACCCATATCAGGATTAGACCCATTTTTGACTTTAAGCTCGGGTATCTTTACGGATTATTAAACGGATTTTCAAAGAACAAGAACCACAAGGTAGGATGATCGATGCCAGGGGAGTATTATCGGGTGCTTGCAATGCGATCTTGTTACCTTCCGTCAGTAGTTGGAATCCCATCTCTCTTAATTCCGAAGAGTCGAGAGAGAAGTAATCACCACATCGACACTGATAAAAGAGCTCCACAACATCACCGCTAGCGTCCACCATCAGATCCTCTAACTCAACTTCATCCGCAGTTACCTCATCCTGTCTTGAAACCTAAAGAAACCAAACCAAACAAACCTAGTAAATTGTATGCAAGTAGGGTATGAGGGTAGGATGTAGGGTTGGCTGAACGTTCGGTAGGAAGTTCATTTATTTAATAAATGAACAAACATGAACACGTTTTTTTGTTCATTTAGTTAAATGAACGAACATGAACATTGGTCTCGTTCGTTCATTTATGTTCGTTTACGTTTGTTTATATATATATATATATATATATATATTTATATAGCATAACATTAATATGTAAAATCATTAATTAATTTAAATTTTAAAAATAAAATTCATCCCTTCTAAGTTATCCGGTTTTTTCAATTTGTTATGCGATTTTTAAATGAACGAAATGATGAGTGATGGTGGTTACTTATTGTTCATTTGTGTTTGTTCGTTTATGTTTGTTCATTTATGTCCGTTTAGCATCTTAACGAACGAACATAAACGAACACATTTTCTTAACAAACGAACATGAACACAAAATAATCCATTTGTCTACAATTCGTGTTGATTCATTTGTTCGATAAAGTTAGATGAACAAACACGAACAAGCCTTCGTTCAAGTTCGTTCGGTTCGTTTACAAGCCTAGTAGGATGTATGCACGAGAGAGGTTGTTTCCGTGAAGATTCCTGGCTTATAAAACCGAAAATGAATTAAAGAGTGTTTTTGGTATGCGGACTCGACTGGACGAGACTCGATGGGCGAGAGTGAGGTAAACGGGTGAAAGAATTCTGAAAGGTTTTAGGGTTTTAATTTGACATGGGGTAGTTTAGTAATTTACTAATCTTGTCTCATCTCCCTCATTTTTATTCCACCTATTTTGATAGGACAGAACATAGAAAGGTAATGTCCCAGACTAATGTCGATCAAAAGTGGGACAACAAGATTTGTACTGTACTTTACTGTCCTGTCCCGCATACCAAATACACCCAAAAGAAATAAGAGAGCAAGTTACATGTGTCTTGAAACCTGAAGCTCCCTGTCATATAATGTCCGTGACTTCACATCTCCTAAGATTTCCCAAGCCGTCTGGATCTCAAGAAATCTAACTCTTGGATCGTTGTGATCAGAACTTATCTTGTGCAATTTATCTGGATGGGAACATAGGAGAGCAGATCTATAGCTCGTTCGGACTTCTTCCTGGCTTGCATCTTCTTTCACACCCAGAACGTCGTAGTGAGTTTGGCGGAGTGCATTGTTAGCTAATTGCATGATCAAATTCTTCAAAATCCTGCAAATACATCCAAGCAGTATGACCAAATGACTTCCATAGCTTGTGACAACAACAAAAAAAGCTTCACATTTCGATTTCATAAAAGGAGCCAAAGGGGACATAGATTATACGTGACCAAAGTTTTAGAAAAGCAGAATCGATCTTCGAGGCACAAATATATATATATATATATATGTGTGTGTGTGTGTGTGTGCATGTATGTATACACACACACACACACACACATAGGTGGAGATTCAAACAAGAACACTTCCATTTTACAAAAACACAAGAACATTCTTATCACATGTGATAACTCACATGAGGACCTGGTGGTGTGCGAACCACTTGTCCCGCTACCTAGGTTGCGCCAAAAGTCATCCGCATCTCTGATTTAGTATCACATGTGATGACAACTCTGGACAGGCGGTGGAAACTACTAAGCTGGAATACGGTAGGGTTAGAGGGAATTCCGGTGTTATAGTATCATATAGAGAACACCCTTATCACATAATGTGAGGAGGATTAGTGGTGTGCAGGAGACTTAGCCTGCAACCTAGGTCTCGCTAAAGGTCATCCGCGTCTCTGATTTAGTATCACATTGGATTATATGTGATAGACTATAGTATCACATGTGATTGACTATAGTAAATGGTATTCTCGTTTGAACCCTTCCTTTATATTCTACACAATATATTTATACCCATCTGCATTCCACTACTTATACACATAAAATATATGCAATACACACACACACTAGATACAATATATATATATATATATCATACTAAATTACTAAAAAAATCTGCAACACTTTTTTCAATCACGAAATATAGATATAGTAACAAAGAAAAAAATATTGATATGACAATGACACGTAGTAGAGACTAAATATAAAAGAAGTGTATTCGGTATATACATATACATAATACTATGGAACCGGAGAAGAATCAAAGAAGAAAATGCAAAGAAAATGCGAGAAAACCGGAACTCGGACGAGTAGCAGATAGAGCTTAGGAGAACCAGAGAAGAACAAGGGTTTCAAAAAAGAAATCGAGAAGGTTTCAGCCATTCTTTTAAATAACTTAGCCTCTAAAGTGAGACGTATGCCTCTCCAAAGCCTCACGTCACCGGCTCAAGTTTCCCCCAGGCCACTGGAGGGTTTGTTTGGCTATTAACTTCAAGGCCCCATGGAATTAGTCGAGGTGTGTGCAAGCTGGTCCAAACACCCATGATTACCAAGACTAACTAAGCATGCTAGAACCCTATGGGGTTCACAAATGAATCCCTATTTGATCTTACGGAATCCCTCATGTCCCCACATTAATCTAGATCCATTACTGCCTCACCCAATCGTTCCTTTGGTAACGTTATAGCCTTGAAATTACTTATTCCAAATGTCTACATTGGAGGCAACTAAACCATCTCAAGCAATTCCCGCATTCTCCTTGACCAATTACACCCCAACCTTATAATGAAATCCCACCATCCTCCTTATCTCTTGAAAACATACATCATTTGGTGATCACATTCAGATATATGCTAAATGGGATCTGATTAGTAGTGATTAGTTCATCCGGGCATTGAGCCATCGAGGCATGAATCAGTAGTGACATGAGTGCATTTGTCATGGGATCTGATACCATGTAAAAATCAATTGATGCATTCATTCAAATAAGGTTGGTCATAAGAAGCTTCTCCGTTAGGCCATCCACATGGTGTACTAATCATTTAGACTCCAAACATTCCAATATTTCGGAACCAATAACCTCGGGTTTCAAATTTTAGATTAAGCTCACCCTTACAAAAACAATTTCACAAAATTTGTAGCATCATTTAAAGTCAGAGAAGTACCAGTGAGAAAGGGCCAAACAAAACCAGAAGGCCGTGTCTGATGCTCCGAGCCGGAGGTGAGAGCAACCATAGTCTCTTCATGAGTTTAGGCTTGCGCTGACGTAGGGGCTGTCTGGTAGAGTGTAAATGATTTGGTGCAAAATAATTAAGTGGCCAGAACGATTGAAGATGTATTATGATTTAGTGCAGAAGAAAAAATGGCTGTTTGACAAGTGTTCCAAATGACAAAATTACGATTTCAACCAATATGATTGTTTGACAAGTGTTCAAAATTGATAAATTACTTTACAAATATAAATTTAAAAAAATATAAATTACCATATATCACATTGCAAATATAAATTACTTGTTCAAAACAACAAATCATATCAATCCAAACAAATATAAAAAGGCGTTCAAGTCCTAAACATTCATTGTCATGAGAGTCTCACCACGTTCCATCCATGTTTTCTTAATTTGAAAACATTTAACAATAATGTGTATGCATCTTAAATTAAAGATACATGAAAATATTTAGAATGCAAAACTTAGCTTGTATCAGAAAGCGAATGCCTTGAACCGAGCCTGAACAATGCTATCCTAATGTATATAATGTAGAAAAATTAACCAATGCGATTAGCTATTGCTTCCCTGCTAGACAGCCACAGAACAGAGCAGATTTCTGCACAGAATGGTGCAGAAAGCAGAACTAACGTGCAACAGGTATTTGCAAATGCAGATGCAAGTTGCAACAGACAATGAAGAAGACACACACAAAGTGAATGCAAAAACAGGTAGTGCAAACTATTTTACTCTGATGGAAGCTACATATGCAATGCATTAAGAAAACATAAACTTGAACTAATATAACTTGCAACAAATCACATGTTTCACAAATAAGTTGTACAAAGAAAGTTCTTGATGAGACATACATATAAATATATGTAAAACAAGTGAAAGAACAAAAAAGGGATATTTGACAGATTTGTGAGGCTGTGGAATTTCAACAATATCTCACTCATCCAAGCTTTGTTTAAGGCGATTCAATATTTTTTAGAAAGCCAACAGACGGGCTTACAACTTTCATGTTTTGAGTTTTCGCAAATACGAGCTGCATCGAAGTCGAAATTAGCAGTGAAGTCGAGAGAAGGGTGCTGGACAGCAGGTAATCAAAAGAAAAAAAATATACTAAAAGGTTCTTAAACACATATATAAACTATAGAAATATAGAACAAAACATCTAAAATCCTGCAACTAGAATATCAATGACAGCACCAAGAGCATTGGGTTCTATTTTCAAATAGCAGACCCATTTGTCTAGTAATCAAGTATGTTTCTTTCATTAGCATGTCATTCTCTCTTCTAATATCCTCTAAATGACCCCACTGCTACCACTATAGGCTTGATGGCAATTAAAGAACAAAATCTACTAGAATGAACAAGTTTATGGGAAGTTCCCAACCTCACATGAGAATATAGGCATACATAGTTTCAAAGAAATCTTGATCATAGTTTCAAAAAAAATCTCTCAAAACCCCCCTCCTAATTGACAAAGAAACAAAATCATGTGTGAGTTAAACCTACATAGATGACACAGATTAGATCAAACTCAATATCCATTCAAGAAAAATATTAGATTAGAACATAAAGATTCAAGAAAACACACACACACATTAAAATTTACACCTAGTATTCATCAAGTTTCAAATCCTTTTTACAAATGTCTTTGATGTAATCATTGTTTTCAAGTTTGGGGGTTTGAACTAAATAATAGAACAACAATTTCGCAATCCCCATCAAGAACCACAAACATAATCTTGAAATGACTCCACTTTCCTTTTCTAGACAAGATTTTGACCACAAATCTTTGAATCAATCAACCTAAATGTTCTTGATTCAAATAGAAAGATCCAAAGACAAAAGAATTTGGTGCTCAAATATGGTATTTTATTTAGTTATTACTGCACACATGAATTTGATCCACCCATGCCAAGTAAAATTCAATCATCGTACCATGAATAACAATGATGTGGAACACAGTTTCGGTGACTCATCATGGGTCATGATTTAACATGCTACAGGCACAACACATACTATAACCTAGTAAGTAAAAACTGCTACTCCAAGCATAAGACATTAGCCACAAATGTATTCTTATTAAAACCAAAGCCCATTACATCACGTTAAATCCTTGTTCATAAGCTTAGCATTAAAATTTCTACCTTGGATATAACCGAATGACCAGCATGAAAGCACTATAGTGATCAAAGCAGTTCACATTCTCAACAGATATTATCTAGAAGATTGTTTGTTTGTCTGCACTCTTTAAGTTCTTCAAAGGAAATGGATTAAGTACATTAAATGCATACATCAGCTCAGCCTAATACTAACGTTTCAGCTTAATACCTTATATATATGGTTCAGAATTATAGTTCTGCAATAACAGAAGGCCCATCCTGAACAATACATATAACAAGGAGAAAGACGATAAAGAAAAACAATATAAATCAAGAACCCACAAGATATCCAACTTCAAAAAACCCAATTGAAATCTAAAGATATCTGCTATTACAGATCAACAATCTTGTTAAGTGCAGTCAAATTAAGCAAGAAATAGAGATGAAAAACTTACCCTGAGGCAAAGTGAGCATCAAATGAAGAGAAGTATATGATTCTATTAAGAATACGATCCATTCGCACAATTGGAAAACGAAAGAACAAAACATAAATCGATCAAGTAATGAAATCAGCCGATTCTTTCAAGTAATCCATCATATCGCACACAATATAAAGCCAGAAAACAGAAAAACGAAACAAATGTAATGAATTTAGCATAAATCGATCAGTTCAACAAAATTATACCTTTTCGAGCAGCCCAGGGAGGAAGGACTTGAGCGATGAGGGAGAAAGGAGGAGGGCCGAGAGTGACGACGAACGAGGACCGATTTTAGTGGTAGCGGCGAGAGCCGGGACCGACGAGGGAGGAAGAGGGAGCGCGGTGAAACCTAATCGAGAAAAACAGGTGGTGTTGGGATTGCTTTGCAAGTTGTTACAAGGCAGAATGGTTTAATTCAGGGGAGTGCTGATGGCAACCCTATAGGGTGTTCGAATGTATTGGGAATTATAATTGATATAAGTCTCATATGTTAATGTCAAATAATAATATTTTATGTTTTATTATTATATATATATACACATATATATATATGTATATTTATTCAATTATAATTTTAAATTATATTATGTAATTATCATAT